TTGGAGGCACACAGCCCTGGCATGTGGCCCCTGTCAACAACCAGAGTTTAGCAGCCTGTCCGGATTAAATTATTGAACTTCAGAGCACCCTGGGAATTTTTGCAAAGAAAAAAAAAAAAAAAGGCAGAAAAAAAAAAAAAAAAGCTGGGGGAGATGTGGTGGTGCAGGAGCACATGTGAAAGGGAGCTTAGCAGCCCAGATGCCAGGGGGCCCAGCGTGAGTCAGCTGGAGGATGTGGGTGCCAACAGCCTCGGGCAGGCCGGGACCAAGTGGAGGAGCATCCAGAAAAAGAAGGGTGCGGACGGGCTCTGCCTCAGCGGCGGTCAGACCACCCTGGAGGGCTGGCTCTGTCTGAAGGCCCATCACGTGACAGGAAAGGGTGTATTCCGAGGACAGTTACAAAGAAGGGGGAGGAGGAGGTGATGTGGGGGAGCCCTCAGAAGTTAGAGAAGCCTGACTGTGGTGGCACACACTTGGAAGCCGGAGGCAGGGAGATCAAAAGCCCTAGCCTGCCTGAAGCTACTTGATGAGACCTTATCTCAATCCAAACAGTAAAAAAGAGGGCTGGGAACCTCACGCAGTGGGAAAGTGCTTACCTAGCATATGCAAGGCCCCGGGTTCAAACCTCAGTACTGGAAGAAAAAGTTGGAGAAAAGAAAGAGAGCATGGCCCCCAGAAGGGCTTGAGTCGGGGTGGGCTTGTGCCTAGACGTCCTCTGCCTCATGTCACCCTGGTGAACCCCTCTCTGTCCATTATGGCCTCAGCACCCTCCCCGCTTCTAGAGGCGTTCCTTCACCTCTCTCTCTCTGTAGAAAGGGGCCCCACTTCCCCGGAACTCCTCCTCCTGGCATACAGGCATCAGGCCCCTGCAGGACAGCACCTGGCACAAGAGGCCGTGTTTCGAGGGTGTGGCTGAGCAGGCATCCCTGTGTTTATCATCCCTCGTGTTCGGTGATGTGATTGGTCTTTGGCAGTATCTGATGTGTTGAATTAGTTGCATGAAAACTATCATGATTTTAATCATGGGGAAGAGAGACTGCTCTTTCCATGTGGCTTTGGAAAGGCGGAAGTGGAAGAGAGGGCGGACATGACAAGACTGGACTTCAGCTAAAATCAGGAAGTGTTTATAACAATAGTGAGGACAGCTTTACTATGTCTCACTCATGCGATGCTCCGGGATAGGGGGCTCCAAACAGCCAAGAGCAGCAAGAAGCACCACGTTTATTAGCTCACGCAGCTCGTGCCAGCCAGGAACTCGGGAGCGGCGGGGAGACTGGTTCTGGCTCGGCATCTCTCGTGGGTTGTAGATGCCAGCCAGGGCTGCGGTTATCTGCAGATGACATTCTGGCACACTCACGTGGCTGTCGGTAAGAGGCTTTAGTTCCCTCCCATGAGTGCCTAAGTGATGTCCCTATGTGGCAGCTGGCTTCCCAGCTGACCCACAGCCATCAGAGAAAGAGGAGGAGATTGTGGTGTCTTTTGTGACCCAAGCCTGACAAGTCCCAGTGTCATTTCTGTTAGGTTTCAATCCTGGGACCAATGGCTGAGGTGCCTATTTCACATATCAAAGAGACCTGGCTGCCAGGTTCTCCCTCAATCCCTCAGTTCCTACCTGGTACCTGGCTCTCCTGCCTGGCATACCCTGCCCTTACCCTGAACTCTGCCGCCCAGGGCTGGCTGCCCTTCCCTATATAATCCAGATGTTTTGGTTACTCAGCCTCTTTGTATGTCCCTTTGGCCCTCAGCTGCTGCACCTAGCTCCCCTCTCTCCCCCTTAATTTTCTTTCCCCCTCTTCCCACATGGCCCAGCTCAGCTTGGTCATGTCCACTCTGGACTCTCCAAGATGTCCCTGCCTCTACCTAAGCCCTAATTTCTACAACACTCCAGTGGAAAGAGACTGAATATAGGCAGGAATACTACCTGGTTATAAAAATGAGGTCATCTGGGAGGTCAACTATCACACTAAGTTTATTTTGTTGCTGCTGTTTTTCTTGTGGCTTCTACTTTTTGTTTTTTTTTTTTTAATGATTTATATTTTTATTTTATGTGCATTGGTATTTTACCTGCATGCATGTCTGTGTGAAAGTGTTGGATCCCCTGGAGGTAGAGTTACAGGCAGTTTTGAGCTGCCATGTGGGTGCTGGGAACTGAACTCAGGTCTTCTGGAAGAACAGCCAGTGCTCTTAACCACTGAGCCATCTCTCCAGTCCCTTGGTTTCTTACTTGTAAGACAGGTATAAGTAGGCTGAGGGTGGCGGCCTTTAATCTCAGCACTTGGGAGGTGGAGGCAGGTGAATCTCTGTGAGTTTGAGGCCAGTCTGGTCTACAGAGTGAGTTCCAGGAAAGCCAGGGCGACACAGAGAAACCCTGTCTCGAAACAAAACAAAACAAATAAACAAACAAAGACAGGCACAATGAGAAGAAACAACCTCCAAAGTGGTTATAAGAATTTAATGAGAGAACCAGTGCTGACCAGTTAGTGCAGTGCAACGTCTACTATAAATTGGGCTGGGGATGTAGCCTAGAGGTAGAGCACTTGCCTAGTGTAGGGTGAAAAGAGCCAAGGAAAAGCACCCTGACCCTGACTTGACCCCAGAACCAGAGCTTGAAATCCCACCAATCCCTGAGCTTGTCCTGGAGACAGGCTGCAGAATCCCACCAATCCCTGAGCACAGAATCCCATCAATCCCTGAGCTTGTCCCAGAATCAGGCCACAAAAACCCATCAATCCCAACCCACCCCATCCTATATAAGCTCTGTACCCTGTTCAGTTTGCGGCTGCTTCTCACCCTAGAGGCAGTCACCCTCCTGGATTTTTTGTTCCCAATAAATCTCTTGAGTGAGGTTTGTTGTGTGGTGTGAGTGGAGCCCAGCTGTAACAACTTTCCCAGGAGTAGAGCTGTAACATTTTTGCTGGGGAAATTCTCCCCTAGTGGAGCAGAGTTCTTACACTCAGGGGGACCTGAGCAGAGCTGTAACAACTTCGCTGGGGAAACCCTCCCGTGTTGGGGAAACCCTTCCCTGGAGCAGGCCTGGAAGCTGCTAGCTTACAATGACTGCGTGGTATTCCTGGGTTCCCTACTAACAGGATACCTTCCCATCTGAGCTGCAACACTTATACCTGCATGTATAAAGTTCAGTGCCCTAAATGAAAGAATGAAAGAAAGGAGGAAGGGAAGGAAGGAGAGAAGCAAGCAAAAAGGAAGACCAATGCAGAGATGTTAAAGAATTTGTCCAGTTACATACATGTAATGGTGTGAGCTTGGTTTGACCTGAAAATCTGAAGTCATTTCACTGTGCACTCTTACTGTGGTGGTTTGAATGAGAATGTCCCCCACAGGCTAAAATATTTGAGTGTTTGTTTCCCAGTTGGTGAACTGTTTGGGAAGGATTAGGAGGTGTGTCCTTGTTGGAGGAGGTGTGTCACTGAGGGCAGGCTTTGAGGTTTCAAAAGCCCACAACAGGCTCAGTCTCACTCTCTCCTGCAACTTATGGATCAGATGTGAGCTCTCAGATGCTGCTTCGGTGCCTGCATGTCAGCCTGCCTGTCTGCTTCTACACTCTCCACCATGATGATCATGGGCTAACCCTCTGTGCTATAAGCAAGTCCCCAATTAAACGCTTTCTTTATAAACTGCCTTTGTCGTGGTGTAATAGAACAGTGACAGACACTTACCTTCACTATGCTACCTCTCAGATGTCCACTTGTCAGGGATGCCAGAACAGTGAGTGAGTCCATCCAGAACAGTAGACTCAGGACCTAACGCTAGGGTAGAACCAGGAGCATAAATCACCAACAGGAGTTTTTCCCCAGAAGTCCTCCTGCAGATTCACTCAAGATTGCCAACCTGGGACGGTGGTGGAGCACGCCTTTAATCCCAGCACTCGGGAGGCAGAGGCAGGAGGTTCTCTGTGAGTTCGAGGCCAGCCTGGGCTACCGAGTGAGTTCCAGGAAAGGCACAAAGCTACACAGAGAAACCCTGTCTCAAAAAACAAAACACAAAAAACAAAAACAAAAAAAAAAAGACTGAATTAAAAAAAAAAAAGACTGACTTTGGGGGTTGGGGATTTAGCTCAGTGGTAGAGCAGTTGCCTTGTAAGCACAAGGCCCTGGGTTCGGTCCTCAGCTCGGGGTGGGGGTGGGGGAGATTGCCAACCTGATTCCTCTTCTTCCTCATCCACTTCCTCGGCTTCTGCTCCCAGTTCACTTTGTTCAGAGGCCACTGTCTCATCATAGATAAAGAGAATCAGTGTGGAAGGACCTCAGAAAAAGGAAGTGCTGTGTGGTTGACATATTGTGCACCCTAATAAACTTATCTGGGGGTCAGAGAAAGAACAGTCACTATATTAAACATAGGTTTAGGCAGTGATAGCACACACCTTTAATCCTAGCAATCCGGAGGCAGAGATCCGTCTGGATCTCTGTGAGTTCAAAGCCACACTGGAAACAGCCAGGCATGGTGACACACACCTTTAACCCCAGAAAGTGATGGCAGGAAGCAGAAAGGTATATAAGGTGTGAGGACCAGGAACTAGAGCCTGGTTAAGCTTTTAGGCTTTTAGTAGCAGTTCAGCTGAGATCCATTCAGATGAGGACACAGAGGCTTCCTTTTGAGGAAACAAGATCAGATGAGGAACTGGTGAGGTGAGGTTAGCTGTGGCTGGTTCTGTTTCTCTGATCTTTCAGCATTCACCCCAATACCTGGCTCTGGGTTTGTTTTTGTTAATAAGACCTTTTAAGATTCATGCTAAAGTGCTGGGTAAGCCCCTGTAGAGGAAGAAGGGACAGAGAGAGAGGGAGAGAATTCCTTTTGCATTAATTTATTCTCTTTCTCTGTCTCTCCATCTCTGTCTCTTTCTGTGTCTCTGTCTCTTCTGTGTCTCTGTCTCCCTGGGTCACATGCCAGGAGAGCAATCTCCCAGTGTAAGACGACAATCCTAAGGTGCCAGTTCTCTGTTCTTTCTCAGTTAACCCATAATTTGTATAATTCTGTTCAAGATTCCAGCAGGATGTTTTCCTTTAAAGAGATGGAGCCTTGCTGGGTGGTGGTGGCGGCACATGTCTTTAATTCCAGCACTTGGAAGGAAGAGGCAGGAGGATCTCTGTGAGTTGGAGGCCAGCCTGGACTACAGAGTAAGTTCTGGGACAGCCAGGGCTGCACAGAGAAACCCTGTATCAAAAAGCAATGACAACAAGAAGAAAGGAAGGAAGGAAGGGAGGGAGGAAGGAAGGAAGGAAAGAAGGAAGGAAGGAAGAGGAAGGAAGGAAAAGAAAAGATAAAAAGAGATGGGGTTTTGAGGCAGGAGGGATTGCTCAGCAGTTAAGAGCACTGGCTGCTCTTCCAGAGGTCCTGAGTTCAATTCCCAGCACCCACATGGTGGCTCACAACCATCTGTAATTGTAGTCCCATGGGATCCAATACCCTCTTCTGATGTGTAACTGTACATGTGGACAAAACACCCATATACATAAACTACATAAATAAATCTTGAGAGAGAGAGAGAGAGGGAGAGAGAGAGAGAGAGAGGGTCTTGTTATGCTGCCCAAAGGGATTTTGAACTCTCGGCTCAAGTGATCATACTGCTTTGGCCTCACAAGTTGCTTTGACTGCAGGCACACACCACCATGGCCGGCTTGCAGCAGGACTTTCTGAGGTATAATAATTTAATAAAGTAGCACATACAGAAAGCTACACACATCCTAAGTACATGACACAAATGAATTTTTGTTAAGTAAATGACTTATCACTATAAAGACAAAAGCTAAGCTTTATGGGCATGGGGGGAGCGGGAGGTGCCTGTCTTCCTCCACCCTGGTAGCTAGGGAAGAGCTTGGCCTGTTTTGGGTTTTATTATAGCTAGAGTTTTCCTGCCTGGCCCACAGTCAGGACAAATCTCTGACACCCGCCAGTCCCACAGCCGCTCAGACCCGACCAAGTAAACACAGAGACTTACATTGCTTACAAACTGTATGGCCGTGGCAGGCTTCTTGCTAACTTTTCTTACAGCTTAAATTAATCCATTTCTATAAATCTATACCTTGCCACATGGCTCGTGGCTTACCGGTACTTTACATCTTCCTTGTCCTGATGGCGGCTGGCAGTGTCTTTCTGTCTCAGCCTTCCACTTCCCAGCTTTATTCTCCTCCTTGTCCCGCCTACACTTCCTCTTGCCTAACTACTGGCCAATCAGTGTTTTATTTATTGACCAATCAGCAACACATTTGCCATACAGAACATCCCACAGCATTTTATATAGGTGGAATGAGAGTAGGGTATAAAGTCCATGACTGGTCTCCAAAAAACCAAAACAAACAAACAAACAAAGGAATGTGTTTTGGGTTGGGGATTTAGCTCAGTGGTAGAGCGCTTGCCTACCAAGCGCAAGGCCCTGGGTTCGATCCTCAGCTCAAAAAAAAAAAAAAAAAGTCCATGACTGAATAAGATAAGAGCAGTTCCTTGATGGAGACTGTATGCCATCTAAGGGATGTGGGTTTTTTTTTTAATGTTTTGTCTGCATGTATACCTGTGTGCCTGTCCACACAGACATCAGAGGAGAGCTTCGGATCCCTTGGAACTGGAATAACAGACAGTTGTGAGCAGCTATGTAGATGCTCAGAACTGAAGTTGGTCCTCTGCTAGAGAAGCAAGTGTTCTTAACCACTGAACCATCTCTCCAGCCACCAAGGGATGTGATTAACCCAGCTATACGTGAAGTCTCCCAAAACCTACAACAAACAAACAACGCTAATGAAGCATGGTAACATCCTCCGACAAGCCTGAACTCCAGTGAAGGACATCATGTAGAGTCACGGTGCCCTTCTCCATCAGAGCCAAAGCCCTCTGTGGACCAATCCCATCCTCGACCAAGTGTTGGAGACTCACAGTTCTCCTTACGGTTCAGGGCCCTCTTCTGCAGCTGCGTTGACTTGTCCTAATTGTCAAGAGTCTGAAGAGGGGGATGAAAACAGGATAGGATGTGAAGACAGCTTATGAACTGTAAAGTATTATTAAAACCAAAGCCATTACACTTATTTTTTTTCCTTAAGGAATTTTCCAATCCATTCCATCCTGGATTCAAAACAAAACAAAAACAACCAAAACCACTTTACTTTATCCTGAAATATTTAATAAGCTATAAGAAGCATTTTGATTTGTGGGGAAAGATGAAACCTCAAATTGAATTTCTAAGTGCTTGGTTTGTGTCTATTACTAATTTATTTCTGTGTTAAACTTCAGATGACGTGTGATAAACAGTCTGTGTCACAATGCTATTGATTGCCCTGCATTACAAGCTGAATTAAATGTGCATTATCTTGGGGCTGGTCACCGTGAGGGATGCTTTAAAAGGTTTTGAGGGAGAATAAGTGAAGACCATTAGGGTCCTCCAGACTCCGTCGCCCGTTGACCCCGGTCACCTGGGGAAGTTCTCCTGCAGTTTGGTTGCATGTATATCTTTGTCTTAATGCTTCCTCTAATGGTTTCTAATGGCTACTTGGACACACCACATTCTTCGTAAAGAAATAGCTCTCTCCCACAACCTTGTCTTGGGCACCTTCTAGAAAACTGGACCTTTGTGTATATCCGTGTCAAATACAAAATTCCAGGGTGAGTCTCTGCACTAGTCATTCCTCTGTTGCTGTGATAAACACCCATGTCTGGAAGCAGCAAACAGAGGGAAGAGTTTATTTGGCTTATGGGTCCAGAGGATAATGGTGCGGCATGGCCAGGAGGCAGGGCCGCAGGTGGCAGGCATGGCATCTGGAGCAGAAGCCAAGGGTTCACATCTTGAACCCAAAGCATGAAACAGAGAGCAGGCTGAAGATGGCGGGGGTCTGAAGATGGCAGGGGTCTGAAGATGGGGGGGGGAGGTGGTGTCTAAAGATGGTGGGTGTCTGAAGATGGCAGGGATCTGAAGATGGGGGTGGTGGTGTCTAAAGATGGTGGGGGTCTGAAGATGGTGAGGGTCTTTAAATTCTCAACGTCTGCCTCCAGTGACATACTTCCTCCAACAAGGCCACTCCTCTGAAGCCTCACCAAGGAGTGCCACCAACCTGGCACCAAGCGCTCCGATACCTGAGCCCACGGGGAACATTTCTAATTCCGACTACCGCAGACTACTGTCATTTTATGAGTTCATTTGCTCGTTGGTTTGTTCATCCAACACGGCTGAATATTGACACTGTTCTAGGTTTTGAGACAGTGGCTCCTTTTACCACCAAGTCACAGTACTTATACTTAGCACTTGGAATTACTGTTGACTTGCCCTAGAAGAAGAATATATTAGATTATTGGGAAAAATAAAGAGGTGGAGGCCTGAGTCAGGCTTCTATCCCACGGCCTCCTGGGTGGGTGGCTTTGTCCAAGTCACTTTTTAAAATGAATGGAGCATTCCTTTGGGGTCTTTTGTTTGTTTGTTTGTTTTTCTGTGTATAGGGTTTCTTTGTGTAGTTTCGGCGCTTGTCCTGGATCTCTCTCTGTAGACCAAGCTGGCCTCGAACTCACAGAGATCCACCTGGCTCTGCCTCCCAAGTGCTGGGATTAAAGGCCTATGCCACCGCCGCCGCCCAGCTTCTTTTGGGGTCTTTAGTGTGGTCAGTTTTTATGAATATGTATGTATGAAGACTATGTTGCTTATTGTGTATAAGGTACTAACTTTAGCTCAGTAACTTAATCAGTACAATAAACTAGTGGTTACACTTTTCTGTATTCTTATAGATTTGTCTTACTTCTCCAGTTTAAAATGAGGCTAAGCTGAGTGTGGTAGTGCAATCCCAGCACTGAGAAAGTGGAAGAAAAAGCAAGAGTTCAAGGTCATTCTTGGCTGCCTGAGGTTTGAGACTAGCCTGGGCTACAGAGTGAGAGCTTGTCTCATAATAAATGAAGGAACACAGTAGCACATGCCTACAATCCCAACACTGAGGAGGTGGAGGCAGGAGGATCAGGAGTTCAAGGTGAGCCTGGAACCCATGGAGTTGGGTAGTGCTGGAGGTGCTGGGAAAGGAACAGGGTGGAGGAAGAGATGTAATATTACGAGAAATCCACGGAGTCTGCTTAAAGGAATTTATTAGGAAGGAAAACTTACTACAAGTACAGATTTATTGTAGGGTTCTGGAAAGCTGAGGGACGGTCCCACGCTGTTCTTCTGCCTGAATTGTCCCAGCATCCATGCCCAAGACGATGGAAGAGAGAGGCATAGGTACATCTCAGGTCTTAAGGGTAGCCCCCAGGCCATGCCCCAGGGGCAGGTACTTCAAGGTCACAGGTAGGTAGGACAGTTACCTGCTACATCTCTAGGGGTGGTGCTTCAAGGTCATAGATAGAACAAATATCCACTACAATGTAGGCCCAGGAGAGTGGCAAGGACCTCAGAAAAATTGAAAACTGGAGAGACAGAGAGACAGACAGACAGAGAGACAGACAGACAGACAGACAGACAGACACACACACACACACACACACACACACACACACACACACACGGCCTCCTGTTCTCCCACAAGTTAGGCTTTTGTTAGAGACAGGAACACTGGTAATGCCAATTTCATACCCTCTTGTGCTAGGGATGCTGTGAATGTCTTGCTCTGATTGATTGATTGATAAATAAAACGCTGATTGGCCAGTAGCCAGCAGGGGAAGTATAGTGTAGGTGGGATAAGGAGAGAGGAGAATTCTGGGAGGTGGTAGGCTGAGGGAGGAGATGTAAAGTACTGGTAAGCCACAAGCCACGTGGCAACTTATAGATTAATAGAAATGGGTTAATTTAAGATATAAGAACTAGATAGCAAGAAGCCTGAGCCACACAACCATACAGTTTATAAATAATATAAACATCTGTGTGTTTATTTGGGTCCGAGCAGCTGTGGGATTGATGGATGAGAGAGATTTGTCCTGACCATGGGCCAGGCAGGACCAGGAGATAACCCCAGCTATACTCTTGGCTCTATAACCCAACAGGTCAAAGAGCAGTTCTCTTGCAACTCCAGGGAAACATTTTGGGGTCTCATTCCCAGGCCTGTGTCCCACTGATGAGGCCAACTGTCAAGCAAGATCAGGGACGGATGCTGACCAGGCACTTCTTGGTAAATTTCCTAGCCCATTTCAAACATTTCTTTCCAGAGAGCGACATTCTCCAGGGTGGTCCTTGACTTTTAACTGGCAGCATCTTCTCTCCTGTTTGCTCTTCCTGCAGGAACCTCCCCTGCTGGATAGCTCTGTGAGCCTGGTCAGCGGACTGCTCAGGGAGAGCAAGCTTCCGGCTTGTGTCTGCTCACTTTCATTCCCCCAGATGGAGTTCACTGGGTACTCTTTAAATTTTAAATACAGCCGGGCGGTGGTGGCGCACGCCTTTAATCCCAGCACTCGGGAGGCAGAGCCAGGCGGATCTCTGTGAGTTCGAGGCCAGCCTGGTCTACAGCGCGAGATCCAGGAAAGGTGCAAAGCTACACAGAGAAACCCTGTCTCGAAAAACAAAAAAACAAAAAAACAAAAAAAAAAATTTTAAATACAAAAGTAAAGACATGCCTGTGGTTCGGTGGACAGAGGCAGCTACGTGCATGCCTGAAGACCTGAGTTCAATTTCCAGGTCCCACAAGGGAGCCGGGGAGAACCTACTCCTAAGAGTTGCTCTCTCACCGCCGCATACGCTGTGGCACACATCCACCAGCACCGGCTTGTCTGCACCCACAAACAAACAAACAAACAAATATAATTTAATTAAACAAAACAAGCAGTGGAGTGGCTCTGGGTTCTGTCTTCAGGGTGTGAATGATCCACCAGTTCCCACAGACTGCCCTCTGACCTCCACACAGGGGCTCACACGCTCTTTCTCTTCCCTCTTTCTCCCCCCACCCCCCACAAATTGAATAAATGAAGTCTTTTGGTTTTTGAGACAGGGTTTCTCTGAGTAGTTTTGGTGCCTGTCCTGGATCTCACTCTGTAGACCAGGCTGGCCTCCAACTCACAGAGATCTGCCTGGCTCTGCCTCCCGAGTGCTGGGATTAAAGGCGTGTGTCACCACCGCCTGGCCGAATAAATGAAGTTTTAAGAAAAAATTTTTAAGGGGGTTTCTGTGTATCGCTAGCTGGCCTGGAATGTACTTCATAGAGAAGGCTGGCCTCCGACCCACAGAGAACCACCAGCTTCTGCTCCCTGGGCGTTGACATTTAAAGTATGACTACCAAGCTCCACCCCCACCCACCCCAAAAAAGTTCAAGTAAGGATGTTTGGCTACGAGAGCCAGAAAATCCACACCACCAGGGGGCGCATTGGTCATCGCTTTGTTGTAACAGAATACCTGAAATAGGGACTGGAGATGCAGCTCAGGGGTAGAGCACTTGCCTGGCATGCCTGAGGCTCTGTAGTACCAACCAAAGAATAAAGAAATAAACAAGAACCAGAAAATTGCAAAGCTAACCCCCTGAGACATTAACTTACAAAGATTTATTTATCTCTTGGTTGTAGAGGCTTGCAGTACTTCCTTGAAAGGGTTCACAGCTTTGGTTTCTGGTGGAGGGTCAGATAGGCTGGGGCACATGGCAAAGGACAGCCTACTGACATCATGATCACTAGCACCGTGTAAAAAGAGGCAGTGGGTGTCTATACCCCCCCCTCCAGCACTATGGTAAAGGAGATAGGCGGATGCTGGGAGCTCATGGGCCAGCCAGACTAGTGGAAAGGCCAGCTCCAGATTCCGTTAGAGGCCGTATCTCAAATAAGGTAGGGCTTTCTGACTTGAGCCTGGTAAAGTGGTTCTCGCCAAGATGCGACAAGAGGAAAGAACTGTAGTTCTGTCTCAACAAGGAGGTGGCCCAGAATGCACACACCCTCATCACCATTCACAAGCGCATCCTTAGGGAAGCAGCCCAGGGCACTCAAGGAGATCCCAAGTATAAGCTTAAAGGAGGTGGGGACTCCAGATGCAGGCACCGTTACCAGGCTCAACAATGCTGTCTGAACCAAAAGAATGGGGTGCTTGTCCACAAAACACAATGAGGATGAGGAGTCACCAAACAAGCCCTCTACTTTCGTGACTTATGTCCCTGTTACTATGTTCAAAAATCTACAGGCAGGCTAGAGACGGCTCAGTGGTGAAGAGCACTTGCTGACCTCAGAGGACCCTGGTCCAGCTCCCAGCATCCACACTGGGTAGAACTCTCGTTCCAGGGGATCCGGCACCTTCTTCCGGCCTCCAAGGGCGGCTGCATGCACATAGTGCACACACAGGCAAGCAGACACATGCAAGTAAAAATAAAATTTAAAATTTATAAACAGTCAATGAGGATGAGAACTAACTGCTGGATGTCAAAATTATAAAAATGAAAAAACAAACACATAAGATAGAGATCAGCTAAGAGCATCCAGTCACAGCCCTTGCCTCCACGTGCACAATCACAGTGAGCATACTTCCCTGCATGTACACACACATAAGTCAAATGAAAAACTCTGGCCGGGTGGTGGTGGCGGCGGCGCACGCCTTTAATTTCAGCACTCAGGAGGCAGAGGCAGGCGGATCTCTGTGAGTTCAAGGCCAGCCTGGTCTTCAAAACGAGTTCCAGGAAAGGCACAAAACTACACGGAGAAACCGTGTCTCGAAAAAACAAAAAAAGAAAAACTCCGAAGATATTCTGCACTCTGCAATATCATATGGTCAGCCAAGACTTGACTGTTTATGCAAAAATAAGCAAAAAAAAAAACTTTAAAAAAGCAAACACATCCATCTCATTAGTATGCAACCCTGCTTTAATCTCTAATAAATGGTAAGATTATATATGCTCCAAAGAATTTAGAATTGATTTTTTTATTATTTATTATCAGTATTTGAGT